GAAGTGATGGGTTGTCATTTATGGGCTGGCTTGCAAAACCAGGCGGTTTACTGAGGCAAGGTGACGATTGAACAGGTTTAAGTTAGTTATTTTGGCTATTGGTTTCCATGGCTACAAAGAAATTGATCTTTTCCTAGGACTGTGGTCATTTTTATTTTCCTGAAGTGGGATGGGAAGGTATCTAGAATTCAGAGCAGAGATGAGATTTAAACAGATTTAAACTGGACCCTTTTCAGGGAAATCTTTCAGAAAATACTTAGGAGAAGGTAAGAATAGGCCTGACCCCACAGAATGGGGCTGTTTTAACGAAGCAGATTCACAAACCAAAGAAAGAGTTAGTTCCTCCTGTCTTCTAAGGAACCAAAGCCCATAGACTCGTCTTTCTCTGGTTATATGAGGACTCTAATGCCCAGTAATGTTACTGAATAGTCTAGAGCAAGGGTCAGTAAGCTTTATAAAGGATCAGGTGGTAAATATTTTAGGCTTTCGGGCCATGGGTTCTGTCTGTTGGCAGCTACTCATCTCTTCCCTGGTACTGCCACAGTAGCCATATGCATCACGTAAACAGATGGGTGTGACCAGACGTCATCTAGGGTAGCTGTGTTTGGCACACAGGCTAGTTTGCTGACCCTGGACTAGAACAAGGAATCTTTCAGGTGCATCTACCGTGAGGGATTCAAACACCAAAGCATCGGAACTCTTCTGACTGAGAGAGAGTATATAAATGCTAAGTAGTTGCTGACCAGCTGACTTCTGATATCCTGTCTGATTGGATGTCATTGATTCTGGGCCAGGTTGGGATTCTCATTGAGAAATAGCTGGGATAGGGCAGGAGCTGGAGTAAAGACTGTGACTGAGTTTGGACCAAAAAAAAGCCTCCACTGTCCCATTTCTAATGGGCCTCAGGTGGTTCATTCTATAGTTGCCACCCACTGCCACTACCCGCCCTGATACTCGCTGGTGCCTGCTACATGGCTAACAGTATTATATCTAAAGGTACTGCCAACTGTTCTCCTGGCAACTGTTATATCTACTCCAGCTAAAGAGATTTTTTTCCCTTTGAGAGCTCTGCCAGCTGGCATCAGAGGGCTTGGCTTTGAAGCATTTTTTAGCTTTTCTGGAGGCTAGAGGGTAAACCTGGTCCTTTTAGCTTCCTTTGTCAGGCTTCCCCAGGTCAAAGGGTGCTTTTGAATGACAGTGTCTTAGGGACCTTGACCACCCATTGTGAAGTAACCTTGGCACCTTCCTCCAGGGTGCCCAGGGATCTTCTTGAAAATAGGACATCCTTTGTCCTGCCATGGTATTTCAGCATTTCTGGAAGTAGTCATCAAATTAGCCCACCATAGCAGACTATTCAGAAAAGCGCTTTTTAAAATTCCTTGATTATCCTTTCTGGGGGAAAAGCAATAACTCATATAAGCAAATCTCTTGGCTATGGCTTGTATGTCTTAAGGTTCTTTGTAAATCAGTACTCAGGGATGTACATGTGTGACAGTTCAGAGACCTTTCTGGAATTAATTGGACTCTACTATCACTTTCATCCATTTGAGGGTCAGGAAAATATAATATTTCAGACTCCAATTATAGATACATTCCATGGAGAAACAAACTTCGTTTGTAGTGAAGAGAGTCTTCTGGTGCTTTTTGTAAAATGGCCTATTCAGGGTTTCTTTTTTGCACGTGAAATCTAGCCATCACAGAAAAATAACTAAGGATAAAAATTTGTTAGGTACAGTACTAATTTTACTTTATAATGGTGTATAAAAAGTTATGGAGATTAGAACTAGATTTTTTTTTCCTCCTTATGTCATCTTTATATAGTAATATCCAAATTAGAAATAAGATAAACATATCTATTAGAAACAATAACAAGAGGTATAATTTTTTGGTTCTCTAACTTGATGTGACATTACTGAATGTTTTTGAAATTCATCGTTAAGACTTGATTAGAAAGAAGAGCAACACAATCTTGAAAGAGATGGATAATGAAAAACTATCTTTGTTAGATATTTAAATGAATATTATAGTTATAGTTGTTCAAATATTATGAAAGTGATATAAAACTAGGAAAAAAGACTAGATAGAATATTTTAGCCTGAAAAATACCCTGGTGTGTGCATGTGTGTGTATGTATGAATTTAATATATAGTATGGATAGTGTCACAAGTGGGAAATGAAAAATGTGCTCAATAAATGGGGCTGGGTCCTTTTGTTGAGTATATGAGTTAGGCTAAAGACAAAGTTGTTTTATATACATACACATATAGGCCCTTCAAATATAGTAGCTTATTGGGAGATTTATTTCATTGCCACATAAAAGTTTACTTGGTCTAGGCTTGTAGGACGCTGTACTCCTCAAGGTCATTCAGAGGTCTAGGTTCCTTCCATCTAGTTACTCCATCATCCTCTGGGACATTGTCCCTCTTCTGCATAGTTGAAGCTAGGTTTCCGGTGCATCCTCATTCCAGCTTGTGATGAAGGGCAAGGAGAGTAAATGTGGGGCAAGGGATTTCCTATTAAGCACATGACACAGAATACTATTGCACATATATTATTGGTACACATTCTGTAATGCAAATCTGGTCACATGGCCCTGTCTGCCTGTGTGAAAGGTTGGGAAATGTAGTCTCCAGCTGGATAACCGTGGGCTCAGACAACTAAGGGAGAGAAAGAGCTCTAATGTTATCAGAAAGAGAGATTCCATACTGGAGAGTGTTAACAGTCTGGGCCGCAGTAGTTTTATGAAAATAAAGCATCAAGTTAGATCCTCATCTTTTACTATATTTTGAATAATTCCAGATGGATGTATGGTCAAACCATATGATAAGCATCGAAAGTTGTTAGCATAGCACCTGGCAAATGGTAATAAAAATAAATGCCTTTTATGGATTATATCATTTGATCTTTACAATGACCCTATAAAAGAGACTGCAACTGACAGGACCGCAGTTGGTAAATGGACAAAGAAAATGGATCAAAGACAGTTCACAGAACAGAAAATACCAATGACTAATAAGGATTTTCATATCTTTAATGTTATGATAAAAAAAGAGGTGTAAGTTTTAAGATGAGAAATCATTTTCACTAATTAACTTAGGAAATCTTTTACAAAATATTCAGACTTGGGTAGGGTGGGTTGTAGAATAGAAACCGCCGAAGCCAGTGTATGTCAGGAGCCTTAGCACATGTTCATATTCTGTGATCCAGAAATTTCACTTTCAGGAGTCTTTACTAGGAAAGAAAATTAGAATGAGGACAAAGCATTACTTAAAATCATGCATACATAAAATCAGAAACCGTGTAAATGTCTAAAAATGGGAGAATGACTAAATGGTTATATATACAGAATGTAGTACTACACATGATTAAAATTGTTTACGATGCTGACAATATGGGATCTGGCCTCTGATGCAATGTTAAGTGAAAAAAATTAGGATTTAAAATGATCAGAAATTAGATTTAACTTATGTTTTTTTAAAAGCATAGAAAAGATCCTGGAAGTAGATATGTTAAATGTTTCTGGGTGACCTCTGGTATTCTTTTACCACATCTTGGCTTCTTTATTAGCGTCTCTACACTTACTAATGAAAAAAGTTTATTTACTTATTCCTCCCTCTCCCCATTGGATGATCCGGGAATGAAGGTACATACATTGTCAGTAAGGTGTATAGCATAGCACCTGGCCCAGTGTAGGTAATACATATTGATTGGGTGATGTTGGATGATGGGCCTCGAGGTGACCTAATCTTTTTCTTTTTCACCATGGACCAGCAATATTTATATAAACAGAAAAAGACAAATTTAAGTATGAGAAACAGTTTTATTTTATGATTTTCTTTAGTAATCAGCCTAGTTTTCTAATAGGTGAACGAGAAGCAGAAGTGATAAAAATCTAGATTAAGGTGGAAGTAGAAAAAATTTCCTTTTTGCAATAGAGAAGATTCTGTCCATTATCCCATGTCCATTCCCTTGTATGGCCTTGGGATTGTGTTATTCTGTCTCTTGGAAGTAGAGTCTGTGCAGGGTTACGTGTGCACGTATAGAAATAAAACGTACGCTGTCACGTTCTGTGGCGTAATACGATCTGCTATCTTGGGTCTGCTGCAGGTAGCATTGGTTGGCTATAGTTGCACAAAGAATACTAGATTTGAAGAAAAGTATTGAAATGGGAGATGATTTCGTTTTTCCCTTTTCCTCCCACCTCGTCCCCTTAAGATATAACATTATTAATATGTTTTGTGATTGGGGACAATTTAAGTCTTTTAAAGTTGGGTCAAGTGAAACTTCCCACGTAATATTCGTCAGCATTCTCTTAAATGTGCCAGTGAAAAAGATTTGACAGAAAAAGTGGTGTTAAAAAAATAGGATACTTTCCTTCTGCCTTGAATGAAATGGATATTTTAGCTATCCGTTTAAATGTTTGGAAATTGTTAAATCAGATTTTCTAATGACACAGCATATGGAGTAGAAAATTCTGGAAAGGTCAGCTGGAGGCTAATTTTCCAGACAGTAAATCACATACGTAGAATTGTGGCTGTCTAGAAACATGTTTTATGTTTATCACCAGTGTATGTAACATAATTTGAAAATAATTAGAAGCATTCAGTAACAGCTACACAAAATAGAGCATTTCATTTAGAACAGTGCTGATAGTATAAAGGTGGAAGGAAGAAAATCCTGACAGAATGTAACTGATTTTTAGGGGGGCAATAGAAGTGAAAACTGCCTCAGAAAAGTGAGAGAGATGCCTGCAGACTTAAACCTGAGTGTAAATACGTGAATTTTTCTTGGAGATGAGTAGCCACGGGAAGCAAGTATGTTTTTGCTTTGTGCACTTAGTTAAGTCCTGTTAACGAACACCACCAGGTGATAGGCATTTTCTGAACTGAAGAAGCCTGTGTGTGGCCTCTAACAAGTCAGGTTTAAGGAAAAGATGTCAGCGACTTAAGACCCAGGTCACATGACTCGGTCTGCTTGCCAGTCCTAGACGCTCTGGATCAGATTTCAACTCCAGGCAGCCCTCCCAGCCATGTGGGTTTAGCCAAATCAGAAGCAAAACCACACTTCCGAAAATGTTGGGAGCCGCTCTCCGCTCACCGTGGGGCCTCTGGATCTGGAGCCGTGTTTCACATCGGAGCATATCGACCGAATGGAATTCTGGCGTTTTGCTGTCATTTTGATGTTTTCATCCAGTCTTCATCAGATCTACTGGGTACTTCCTGCGAGATGGGAGCTGGAGCTCTCACCATCTGTGTGAGTACAGGCCGCCTCTGTCTCCGTGGACACTGCCAGGGCCCAGGAGAGGCCTCTGCCCCCCGACTTCTGAGGAGATGTCTGTGTGACTCTGTTTTTCCTTCTTGGGAGGTGGCGGGAGATTTGTTAACTTAAATTCCTATCTATTCAAATGGACATTAAGCAGTATTTGGGGTGGCATTCCGTATTTTTGTCCACTTTCCTTTTGCAAAAAAAGGTGAAGGAAGATGCGTGCCGAGTTTATTCAGTTAAGTGAACTTGATATACTGTAGATCACTCTTGAGCGTTTTAGACTTTCTTGTTCTGAAAGAGTTAAATACAAGCTAAATTGTAGTTGTTGGAAATACCTTTTGCCTAGATTGAGAACAAATTAAAAGAACTAAAATAACCATTAATTTATTTGCTTCCGAGAATATATATAGCATTTTTCTATTTCATATTCTTGTTTTCATTTAGTAATTTCTAGAATTTTAATTTCAGCGTGGTTGCTAAAAGTAATGGTGAAAGAGCTAAGTGGATAAATGAGTGTGAATCCTTCTGGAAACTTCTGGTTATAATACAGTGGCAGCAATAAATAACACTGATATAAAATCCATGGGGAAATGTGTATATTTCTAGGGCTGAAATTCATGAATTTCAAAAGCAGTTCTGTTGGTGCTTACATGTAATCTTTTGCAGTAACCGAATATATCTTCAGTTATATAACTTACAGGATACTGTCATTAAATTTTTTATCTCAATATACAGAAAGTGCATAAAGAAATCTCAAGTTGGTATTGTATTCCAAGGGGCATTTTTTTTTTGTCCCTGGAGGTACTAAATGAGAAATATCTTATTCTGTATTATTAACTGCTCCCTAGTGTTTCATCACATTTAGATCAGATCCTATTTATTAAGTTTCAGAATGAGCTGTATTTTGTTGTAGCTATGATGGCATCCTAAAATATCTAGAAATATCTGGGTAATTTTTGACACGTAGGCCCTGAATGGCCACCAGATGGCGCATTAGCCCCACAGGTTGAATCTTAGTAAAACTGCAGGGTGACTCCCTCGTTTTCAGCTCAGAACATCTCAGCATCTTGTGTGCAAGTCTTCCCGACTCTTGTCTCTTTTCTGTTCAGCCCCGATGCTTGGGTGCTCGTAGCATCCGGGTGTGCAGCTGGTGATCTTTTTATCACTCCAAAGAGTTTCCTTCAAAATCTGACTTTTCTATGTGGAAATACTGGGTTTTTAATTTTACTTCAGATACAGGTGTGCATTCTTTCAGCTTTATAAAAGAAATACTTTAGAGCTGGAAATGTGTAAAGATTAATCTACTTGTCCTGAGATTTGCAGACATCTGATTGATTGGATCTCTACTACTTGCCCTTGGCCTACATATATTGATGTCTACCTTGACTGAAAAGCAGACTAACCCATGTATGAAATTCCATCTTTTTCCTTAATTTATATCCAAAGCACGTACAGAATTTCATTTAATGTTGACATAAAAATCATACCATTTAAGAGATCATTCACTCCAATGGATGAGTATTTCTCAATCATTCTTACCCTTCGACTCCAGCTTGGCCCTTTGATTGTGCTGTGTCCCAGTTTTACTATAGGAGGAGGCACATTTTTAGGAATCGTAGCATAATATTTCTGGAAAAAGAGCTATTGAAGAACAAAACACTTTATGTTTGTGGCAGAAAAGTGAGAACTAATTCACACATAAATGAATGCATATGGGCTCATATGCTTTCTTGAGTTTGGGACTTTTCTACTTAGACATATATGTAGTAACTTGCTGAGTATCCTGCTACTGAAGATAGCCATTCTCCAGACAAAATAATCGAGTACCAGACATTTGTAGAGTGTGTGTATGGCTGTGTGTGTTTATGGATTCTTGAAGTGGGACAGACAGGTTTAAAGATTTTCATTTCCTACTTCCATTGACTAACCAACTTTCTCTTCCTCATTCCTTTTGTTTTTTTCTCTTTCCCAAATTGCTAGTGCTGTTAGTACAACTGCAGTGGACTCACAAATTTACTTAGGTTACAAAGAAGAGGTAGGTTCTTTACTGTAACATACCTATTTTTCCTCAGTACATCACCCCCAGGCAGAACAGAAAACTTAAACTTGCCAACCGATGTTATCTTAGTCTCTTCTCGTGGATGACTCAAGCTTTCTCAGGTGAATCCTGAGTCTTTCCGATTCCCTGCCCCTCCAGCTGTTCTGTCCAAGGTGGTGTGTGGTCGTTTTGAGGAGAGGTGGGCTGAGAATGGGGCGTTTGCATATTCTGGTGGACGAAGGAAGGGGAGCCTAGAGCGCTTCTGTGTATGTTCTTATAGCATACTCTGAACGTCCTGCTGTGTGAGTGAGTTCAGGTAGCAAGTCTGTGACTGGTAAATTTGTGGATCAGTTCTCCTGGTGTTGTCGGGACCCAGCGGGCCCCCTGTCCTGACTTAGCCCCAACTCTTGCTGGTGCTGACAACAATTCCAGGGATATCCCAGGCTTTGTAGCCTTTGTCCCTAACTTGGGCACCTCCTGGCCTTACCCTCTGGTGCCATCAGCTACCTTACACATATCTCATAGTGTAGGCAGGTCACAGTACAGAAAGGCTCACAGACCAAATCAAGATACTCTAGTTGCAGATTTATTGAATCAGCCTAAAACACAGCATGAAGCAAGGGGGAAAAAATAGGGGTAGGTTTACCTACTTAGAAGGGGTTTAAGTGGGACTGAAGGACCACACTCCCTGAATCCTGTGTTACGTAATATTCATCCTTCCTGTCTTTCTTGCCATCAACCTTCCCTGATCATGGTGCATTTCATTTTTTTTTTTTTTGGGTGTGAACTTATTAGGTGAGCTCTTTAAAACACAGTGAATCAGAGAGGTACTCTCCTGCTTTTTTTTTTTAATTTATTTTTTTATATTTATTTTTGGCTGTGTTGGTTCTTCGTGTCAGTGCGAGGGCTTTCTCTAGTTGAGGCGAGTGGGGGCCACTCTTTATCGCGGTGCGCGGGCCTCTCACTATCGCGGCCTCTCTTGTTGCGGAGCACAGGCTCCGGACGCGCAGGCTCAGTAGTTGTGGCTCACGGGCCCAGTTGCTCCACGGCATGTGGGATCTTCCCGGACCAGGGCTCGAACCCGTGTCCCCTGCATTGGCAAGCGGATTCTCAACCACTGTGCCACCAGGGAAGCCCTATGGCGCATTTCTGAAGACCAGTATTGAGCATGAGCTGGCTCAGCTGATGTAGTGCATCTGGAGCCAACACAGCTTGCTCTATCATCAGGGGCAAGTGTGCCTAGGTATAATTGTAGCTTGCTAAGACACTACTGACCAGCTATGGATTTTTATGTGCATATCTCAGGCAGAGAGCACATGGGGCCAGAATGGGTATAATCAATGGGCGACCCACTAAAGACATGAATATTTGGTGTCTCCTAAATGTCGGGTGCTTAACTTGGTTCTTCCATCTCTTCTTAATTATCGTTCGTCTCTTCTTAATTATCTATGTTGAATATATCTACCAAGCTATCCTATGTCCTTACATGTTGTCAATACTTCGTTGTATCTGTTCTCCTTATTGCTTCTCTTGTTATCAATTTAACTGAACCAAACTTTCTTTAATACAACAAACAACATGTAAGGTCAAGTTTCAAGGCCATCACAGTTATCCTTTTTGTAGTTTCTAGATTTTTGGTACCAGCTTCCTCCCACAAAGGCTATATTTAGGTTTCTTAAATGTCATGATGAATTTCTTAATTTTTTTAAATCCGTTTTTTATTGGGGTTTTAGAGGAACATGGGCCTTGTTTGGAGCTTGGAGTACCTGAGCTTAAATCCTGGTTATGTTAGTTACTACACTCTGATCTTAGACGTTATTGAGCAGTGTGCTGTCTTGATAGTAGATTTTAGGGAGTATTTGACCATCTGTTCAACTTCTTGCCGTAATTTGTCTATCTGCCTTCTAGTTGGCAGTAGTTTTGACAGAAGGGGTCATGTCTTATTTGCATTACTTGCTTCTTGCTCAGGGCTAGGCAATAGTAGTTGTTCAATAAATGTTTGCACAGAACAGCTCAGTCATTCCCTAGGTTTTGCAGTTTCACCTGCTTGTATTTTATTTTTAAAAGGATTTTTGAAGACCTTCAAGAATCTAAAGGTATGTCTGCAAAGGCATTCTATCTTTTTGATGGTGATTCTCGTGAAAATGGCACAATTTTCCATATAGCAAAAGTTAGCAGGATAATTATAAATATTTTGTACTTTTAATCATTTGAGTTTCCAACCGAATAGCACAGGAATTATTACTATAAAATTGCATATAGTCAAAAGACTGCACACCCATTCCATCTCAGATGATGTTTAGTCTGGTCAGTGCATAGCTTTCCCTCAGGTGGGCATGTAATCTGCATGGATCAAGGTAATTAACGCTGGATGTCGCAACAGACAGATCCTGAAATCTCAGTAGCTCAAGGAGGCAAAAATTAATTTGTAGATTACTCAGAGTCTGATGCAGGTTATCAGAATCTCTCTTCCATCTGGTGGCTCCAGTATCCAGGCTTCCTCCATTCTGTCATCTATTTGCTAGTTTAACATATTACCGTGTATCCCCTAGGTTACATCAGGGAAAGAAAGAAATGGAGGAGGCACACATGCTATTATCTGCCTCATTCTGGAAGTGACTCATTTCTCTTCTCATAGTTCATTGCTTTGAACTAGTCACGTGTTCCCACCTAAATGCCAAGGTAGTGGGGAAATGTGTAAACAAACACTCTCTCTGGCCATAACCTAACTTGCTCAAATCAAACAAAGAGAAGGACATATGTTCCATGATTACAGTAGCAGTCTGTCTCCCACTCCCCTACTGAATGTAAACAAGGAATTAAATACCCCAGATGCTGCTGGCAGGCATCTAATCTATGGATGGAGAGGGAAGGCAGCCTAAAGATCTGCCTTTAGTTAATTGATCAATAAATGGCAAAGTAGTGGTGACATTGACGAGCCATTGCATCT